GGGCTGGCGCGGGATCGGGCAGTGTTTCGTTCTGCTGTGCATGGGGTTGCTATGAGTCGGAAACGACTCGACGGCACTTAACAACAACAACAACAACAACATATGCATGTGAGAGCTGGACAATGAATAAGGAAGACTGAAGAAAAGTTGATGCTTTTGAATTGTGGTGTTGGCAAAGAATGCTGAAAGTACCACAGAGTGCCAAAAGAACTAACAAATCTGTCCTGGAGGAAGTGCAGCTGGAATGCTCCTTGGAAACGAGGATGGTCAGACTTTGTCTCACCTACTTTGGTCATGTTGTCAGAAAGGACCATTCCCTGGAGAAGGATGTCATGCTTGGTAAGGTGGAGGGTTGACAAAAGAGGAGAAGGCCTTCAATGAGATGGGTTGACACGGTGGCTGTGGCAATGGGCTCAAGTATAGCAGGGATCACGGGGCTGGTAAGAGAACGGGCGGTGTTTCATTCTGCTGTGCATAGGGTTGCTATGAGTCAGAGATGACTCGACAGCACCCAACAACAACAACAACAACAACAACCTTTTCTCAGTGGCATAAGGACCTGAATGTGGCTTGCTACTTTATTTCAGTAATGGTCTCAAATTCTTGAGACTAAACTTAGAACAGAAGAGCCATCCATTACTGCAGTAGTTGAGGCAGAGTCTCTGGGTGGTGCAAATGGTTAAAGTCCTTAGCTGTTAACCAAAAGGTCGGAAGTTCAAGTCCACCCAGAGGCACCTTGAAAGAAAGAGTTGGCAATCTATTTCTGAAAAAATCAGGTACTGATAACCCTACGGAGCACAGTTCTACTCTGACACACATGGAGTCACCATGAGCTGAAATCAACTTCACAGCAACTGGTTTTCACTGTAGCAGTTGAAGCAGACCCTTTTCCTCTTTCCAACTAGAACCATTTTGAAATGCTCAAGGGGGTTTTTAGCTCAGCATGCTGCACTAGGTTTTTGCTCTGTGGTAGAGATTCTGAATTCTAATTAATGTGTTTGATTCACCACTACCTAGCTGTGCAATCGTGATATAGTTACTACTCTTTGAACCTCAGCTCTCCCTTTTTTAAGATGACTCTGTTGAATTAGACACTTAGTTAGAACCCTTTCAGTTTTACCACTGAGATTCTTTGTTTCTCTTATAGATAACTATACTTTTCTGTCTCTCCCTAATGAGAGACAAAAATTCATTAATATTCGATACAAACCTCCATCAAGGCTCCGGGATGCCCGTTTGCTAGCTGTTCGCTCAAAATGTGGGGCAGGCCTGTCAATCAGAGCACTAGCTTGCCTAGTCTGAGCCTGAGTCCGGCCACTGTATCGAAATTTGGATCCCAGTGCAAGAAATTTACTTTTGGGAATGGTGTCTGTAGATGTCAGTCTGGAAATAAAACATAATAATCATATATTATATATGTTATCTCATTAGTCTGAGGTCATGAAATAACATGAGATTAAAAATAAAGAATAAAAAAGTTTCATAATTCATGCAATATCCTTGTAATTACTAAAACAGATTTCTAATCAAGCTATATCATTTTTTAAAGCAACCAGGATAATTTATATTATTTTTACTACATTAATAATCTCATCTTATATCTCTATAGGGAGCTCTGGTAGTGTAGTACCTAAGGCACTTGACTGCTAACCAGAAGTCTGGCAGTTCAAACCCACCAGCCACTCCTCAGAAGGAAGGTTGAGCAATCTACTTCCGTAGTGATACCACCTTGGAAACCCAAGGACAGGTCACTATGAGTCGGGTCCAACTCGAAAGCACAGCATGTCATGTCACGTCACATATCTCTATAGATATGGTCTTATGGTTTTCAAAATGCTTTTATAGTACTTTGACATGCTCATCACATCCCTATAATATTTTCACTATTTTATATATACAGGTGTGGTGGTTACCTTTGTGTGTCAACTTGGCTGGGCCTAGTTGAGTGGTTGTACAGCTGGATGTAGTCATTCCCCATGGTGAGATTGGTAATCAACTCCATGGTGGAAAGTATTGGAGCATCTGAGTAGTTGCTTTGGGTATGTGGTCTGGTTCCCGTATATAAGAAGCAGCTTTGGGAATTGTCTCCAGTTTATGGCATGCTTGAACCCTGCATGTAGCTGTGTTGTTGTTCAGTAGCCTGCCATGCTCTGCCAATCCTGGGACTTTCAACGGACTTGAATGAATGGCCTGTGTTGTTCGGTAACATTGGGATTGTGCCTTTTTACTTGTCAACCTTGGATTTGTCAGTCTCAGCAGTCAGCAACTGTCTGAGTGAAGAAAAGCCTCTAACTCTAGTTGGCCAGGAGTAGGAGGCAGAGCTGAACCTCAGGGTTAAGGGGCTTTCACCCAGCCCCTAGAGCCTGGCACTTTGAACTTGGACTTAAAGGCGCCAAATTTTAAGAATAAACTCCTGTTTGTTCAAGTCATCCCATTTGTGGTATATTCCTGTCAGAGCAGTACTAGGTAACCAGAACAACAGGGAACGGAATTTCAAAAAAGAAAAGTTACTTATTTAAGGGCACATAGCTGTTAAGAGGTTGGATAGTAACAGAGTATAAGCCCAGAGCACTAGTAGAATAGTAATTTGGTCAAATATACTAAATTAATGCCTGGTAGCCTATTTACCAGGTTATTTAGTGTGTCATTAACCCAGCTAGAAACCTGCATTCTTTCTTTTGTCATGGCATTTACTACACTGAAATGAAACAATCTATTTATATGCTGGTTTCCCCTGTGAGACTAAGTTCTCTAAGGGTAAAAGAGAAGACCGTGACTTACTCAGCTTTGTGTTTTCATTTCTGGCATAGTGCCTGGCATGAATTAGGCACCCAATAAATGTTGGTTGAATAAATAAATAAAATTGCTACACCAAATACTATAAAAAGGGAGTATTTTTCCTCCTCTGGGACAGTTAATTTTAATTCAGCAAATATTTACTTTCTTTTATATAACAGAGTACTACATTTTAATATATCCTCTTATTTTAGTACAATGAATTTAAATATACCATTTATAGGTAACACTGACTGTGGCAGAAATTTATTCCATGCATATTAATTATTCAAAATAACTTTTTCCCACTCTTCCTTTTTTGAAATTATTTTCTTGGTTTGATTTTGAAGAAGAGAATGGTGGAAGCATAAGGAAACATGTTAATGCTAACAATTAAGATTCTTTAATCAATATGAACTCACTCTCATGAATTAATTTGAAATGACAATTCAAATACTTTCCCTGACTTTTCTGCCAACCTATTGTGTTATAGTGCTAAGTATGATATAAAAATACAAATGGAAGGAAAAAACATCAAAATTCTCTCTCTTGAAATTCACTCATAAAGAGTCAAGGTTATTTATGAATGGAATTATATCAGACCTTGGATTTGCTTCAAAATGACTTGGGGGGTCTGTGGGAATATAGATAAAACAAGATTGGCCTTGGGGTGATAATTATTGAAACTAGTGATAGGTACGTGGAGAGTTCATTATTCTATTCCCCTTATTTTTAATATGTTTGCAATTTTCCATAACCAAAAAAAAAAATTTTTTTTTAAGGCAACCTGATAATTACTGTCTCGCTATTCAAATAGTTACTTGTCTAAGACATGTCTTATTTTCTAGAAGGTATGTTCCTTAAGGACAGGGGCTAAGACTATCTTGTAGTATATTCCCAATGCCTAGCATAGTGCCTACACAAAGAGTAAACAAACAGAAAATGCTTGGTAAATGAATTAAAAGGGTTCATTATGTGCCCTCTTGAAAAACAGAGGAATAAAACTTCCTCTGACAGAATTTGGTACAACTGGGCTTCAAAGATGGTTCGTTATGCTCTCTTTCTGGGGTTGGCTAGAACGAAGTAACAGTCAGTTCCACACCTTGAGCTTCCCGGTATAAAAGGCTCACAGGTATGTGTGGAGGGAAGGCAGGGTGCTTCCCCTTTAGGACTGATTTTTGCTCCAATTAGTTGGGGCAATCTCAGAGCCCCTAGTAAACACAGGGACTGATTTCTCACTTCTCTCTTCTTTCTACCATATGCAGAAAGGGACCCTCAGAATGTTTAGGCGTGCTTTTCAACCCAAAGAGAGAGAACTGGATTCATTTTATCTTAAGATGATCTCATCAGAGCTATATAGAAGAGTGCCAGCCACACAAAGAAGGTAATTTCAGTAAGAGGCTTAAAATAGAAACAAGTGTAAATAATTCAGTGTCGAAAAATACTTAAGTGAGAACAATACCTGAAAAATGTGTGATGCTCTACACAGACTTTCCATAATTTCTTAGCTGCTCGGTAACTGGGAAGTTTGAATCCAATGGTACTTTCATACTGTTCTTGCTATAAAAACACAAACATGAACAGTACTCACCATATGATACAGTACTACAGAAATACGGTGCTACAGAAGATACCACTGTGAATAAAGAGAATGTTGACAGTTCTTTTTATATCATTTGGTATCAATAATAATATTTTCCTGCTGACAAAAGAAATTTACTCCCTGATGATAGCTTTTTGCAAAGTAAGAAGCCAGGGAATGCATCTTATTTTTGTTTAGAAAACACATACACAAACACTGGACATTTTTCTGAGTCATAAGTCACTTTTTTGTCCAGACACTGTTCTTCCTTAGTCACTGTCTGCATTTGGGATCCTAGGCTACTTAGTCATCAGGGACTAACACATGGGATGGCACATGATTTGTCTAATCCATCAACATTGTTATACAACAGTAATAGAAGCTAAAGATTTTGCCTCAAACTAGGTTTTTAAATGATTAATTCTTTTCTTTTTTTCCCTTTGATTGATCACTAACTTATCTAGATACCTCTTTAACTAAACCAAACCCTATCCTGTCAAAGTTACTGAAAACAATCCTGATGGTATCTTGCCTCTTTGTCTCTGCAAAGACAGAAAGGAGATTGACATTTACTGTTGTTGTTATGTGCCCTCGAGTTGGACTGGACTCATAGCGACCCCTCCTTGGGTTTCCAAGGCAGTAATACTACGGAAGTAGATTGCCCAACATTCCTTGACATTTACTGAGTGCCTCCAAATAAAACTCAAACTCACGCCATCGAGTCAAATCTGACTCAAAACGACTCCCTTTCGGTTTCTGAGGTGGTTAATCTTTACACAAATATATTGCCCAGTCTTTCTTCCACAGAGTGGCTGGTGGGTTTGAACTGCCAACCTTCTGGTTAGCAGTCAAATGCCTTAGGCACTATGGCACCAGAGCTCCTTACTGAGTGCCTACTATTGTTAAAAGGAGCTCTGGTGGTGTAGTGGTTAAGGCATTTAGCTGCTAACCAAAAGGTCAGTGGTTCAAGCCCACCAGCTGCTCTGGAGAAGAAAGATGAGGCAGTCCTTCTGTAAAGATTTACAGCCTTGGAAACCCAATGGGGGATGCTACAAGTTGGAATCTACTAGATGGCAATGAGTTTGGTTTTTGGTTTGTATTATTGATAATAACACTATGATATAGGTATCATCATCTATATTTTTACAGGTGGAAAAACTGAGGTCATGGAAGTTATTTGCTCATTCTCACAGCTATGAAGTGGCAGAACCAGAAATTCACTGTTTCCACTACACCATGCCACTTCTAAATCATTTCTTATACTATCATCATAATATTCCACCTCTCAAAATCCTCCTGTTGTTCCTGACTGCTTTCTTAAATAAGAATTTTGAATTTTTAGTATGTGTTAAGGATTTCTGGTGGCACAGTGCCTAAGGCATTTGACTGGTAACTGGACAGTTGGCGGTTCAAACCCATTAGCCACTGCATGGAAGGAAGACAGGGCAATCTACTTCCATAGAGATTTACCACCTTGGAAACCTAATGGGAGTCACTATGAGTCTTTTTTTCTTTTTTAACTTTTTATTGGATTCTGGGTGAAATTTTATAAAGCAGATTCTTTATTTCCCTCTATGTTCTTTATAGTCTTTTATTCAAATGTACGAGATGAAGTTTAACATCAGAAAACAGCTCTCTTCCCACTTCCTCCCTGTGGTTACCCTTCCCTTGCTTCCTTCTTGCTTGTGTATTCCTGTCTCCCTGCCTTTCTCCCTGTGCAAATGTTGCCCTTCTGATCTCCCATGGTTGATTGTTCTAAGGAGTGTATCTCCCTGGTTTAGGTGTGCAGCTCATAGGCTTGTCTGTTATTTGGCTGAGAATTAAGCCAGGGAGTAAGTTCAATTCCAGGCCTGAGGACTCAGGGGTTTCACCAGTCCCTATCAGAAGAATAAACCTGGTCTTTTGTATGATATTATGTTCCACATTTTTCTCTCACTCCGTCTAGGATCTCCAATTTTGATCCCATTTCAAGTGGTTGGCATTGTTAGCTAGGCACCATCTAGTTCTTCTGGTCTCAGGGTCATATAGGCTGAAGTTCTCATGGTCCCTTTGCACTAACTGTTTCCATGTGTCTTTGATTTTCTTCACTCTTCTTTGATCTGGACGAGGAGAGACCAATAGTTGCATCTCGTATAGTTGACATTTCTAAAAATCAAGGACTGCCCCATTATCTTATTAATATTTGTATGTATATATTTATTGTCCTCTCATATGAAAATGTGAAACTGTTGAAGGATGGGACTCTTTAACTGTTATATCCATAGCACATAGAATAGTGCCTGGGACACAAAGAAAGCCCTCAATATTTGTTGACTGAATGATCCCTGGAGTTGAAACACTTTGAGAAAAGACACCGGTTACTCTGTGATAGGCATAGTTCAATAATTTTGGTACTAAATAAATGCTTTAACGATAATCTTTACCCCAAAATTTTAAGGCTGCACATCCAGTATTTCCATACTTAAATAATGAGCCATTTTTTACCAGCAGATGGTGATATATACACAAAAAAGTCACATTATATGAGTACGGTGCTTTCCTGTTTAGAACTTTTATGGATGTCATCCTATTTGATCCTCAAATCAACTGTGAGGAAGAAAACATCCCATTTGAAAGATAAGGAAGTGGAACCCTAGGTTCTTCACAGTCTTTTGCTTACTAAGTGGCACGGCAGGAGCTAGAACTTTTTTTTTTTTAATGGACAACTGGTATTTGCCCTTTAATGTTATGTAAATTTGCCCTCACTTTTTTTTTAAATTGTGATTTGGGTGAAAGTTCACAGAGTAAATTCATTTTCCATCCAACAGTTCATACACATTTTATTTCATGACATTGACTGCAATCCCCATAATCTAACAGCTTTCTTCCCACTTCCTCCCTGTTACCTTTTCCCTGTATCCTTTCCTATGCATTACTGCCCTCTGAGCTATTTCCCTGTGCAAATATTGCCCTTCTGTTCTCTCATGGCTGATTGTTTTAAGGAGTGTACCTACCTGGTATAAATGTTCACTTTATACACCTGTCTATTGTTTGGCTGGAAGCCATGGGAGTGAGTTCAATTCCAGGCCTAAAGGGTGACTAAGGGTCATGGTCTCAGGGGATTTACCAGTCGCTATCAGACTAGAAAGCCTAGTCTTTTTTATAATTCTGAGTTTTCTATCACATTTTTCAGGAGCTCTCGTAGCATAGTGCCTAAGGCACTTGACTGCTAACCAGGAGGCTGGTGGTTCAAACCCACCAGCCACTCCTCGGAAGGAAGGTTGGGCAATCCTACTTCCGTAGTGATAACTGCCTCAGAAACCCAAGGAGGGGTTGCTAGGAGTCAGGGCCGACTCGATGGCAAATAACAACAACAACAACATCACATTTTTCTCCCACTCTATCTAGGATCTCCTACATTGATCCCTTTCCTCGTGGTTCACAGTGTTAGCTGGACTCAGTCTAGTTCTGGTCTCAGGGTCATGTAGGCTGAGGTTTGCATGGCCCACCAGTCCCTTAGACTAACTGCTTCCATGGATTCTTTGGTTTTCTTCCATAGTGACCCCTCCTTGGGTTTCCAAGGCGGTATCTCTATGGAAGTAGATTGCCCAATCTTCCTTCTGAGGAGTGGCTGATGGCTTTGAACCACCAGCCTTCTGGTTAGCAGTCAGATGCCTTAGGCCACCAGAGCTCCCTTTTTGGTTTTCTTCATTCTTCTTTGCTCTGGATGAGGAGAGACAATTGTTGCATCTTAGATGGCTGCTGGCATGCTTTTAAGACCTCAGTTGCTACTCACCAAAGTAGGATGTAGAACAATGTTTTTGTGTAGTAAGTATGCCAATTGAGCTTGATGTCCCCTGTGACCATGTGCCTGAGCCCACAGGCCCAAAAACTCACTCCCTCAGAGGAGTTGGCTGCGGCTAAGAAGTTATCACAACTTTGCCCCCTGTTAAGAGCTAGAAATTTTTTAAATACTTGATTTCTACTTAAATAATTTTCCACTATATCATGAAAGCTCTTCAATGACAGCTCTTTAATATACAAGTTAAATTTGGCCATTATAAGTATATCCTGAAACTTGATCACAGACTAATAAACAATTGAGTTATCTGGCGCAAAGTTGAATATCCAACTCTATTAAAACTTAGAATTTGACCCTAGAATAGATTTTCACTATTAAATGCAATGCATACAAATAAATTGTAATTATATGAGGTAAGGCATTGATGAAATAAAAATAAGAGTTATTTAATCCCATAAGTAATTTTAATCTCATGCTAGTCAATTTGAAAACATTTTTCCATCAAGTTTTTATCTAGAGTAAACAAGGAGCAAATTTATCAATCCAAGTGGCCATGGTCGATTTACTTACAGGAAGAGAAATATCTAGAAGACCAGAAGTAAGGAATAGAAGACTTCACATCACAAGACTGATTAATTATCAGCCCTGAATAGTTAGCTATAGAAACCTCATTAAAAGACATAAGAAGGAAAACTAGGAATGAAAAGGTGTCTTAGACCTAGTCTGTGTTTGACTCAGGAAGAAGAAACAAGGATTCTGTACCTCTCCAGGTCGAATTTTGATGAAAAAGCTGCTACGTTTGTATGAAATCTTCAGCACTTTGGGCCAGGGAAATCGGTTAATTCTCAGTTTATCTTTGTAAACCAGAAGGCCACTAGAGCAGACACCCAGCAGGATATCCACTCCCTCTAAATCCTGAAAGAGAAAACCATTAACATTTTAGTCTTCAGCAAAGTGCTCAACATACTGGTGTCTATTATTAGATAATCTGAAAAATATGAACAACCAAAGCTCGTTATAAAGCATACATTGAAAAATAAAGTTTAACCAAATAATCATAATCCATAGCAATACTCAATCTATGTAAGAATTTGGCTATTATTCAATATTTCAAAAACAAACAATGTTATTACTTATCACAAACTTCTTGAAAATGTCCATATCTGACTCATTAATTCTATTTTTATAATCTATTCCAAGAAAATTAACTCACAGCTTTATATGTGAAAATATTCAGTGTGTTATATGAAGAGTGAAAAACTAGATATACTGTAAATATGTAAGCAACAGCGTTAAATTACTGTCCACTAATATAGTGACATACAATACAATCATTAAAATAGTTACATAGAATTTTAGAAATATATGAGAAAATAATTATGCTGTAATGGTAAGTGAAATAAAGGATAAAGTTATATATTCAATTTTTTCTTAACAATATAAAAAATGAGCACAGAAATAAGACAAAAAAAAAAAACCAAACCAAATTCACTGTTATCAAGTCAATCCCGACTCTTAGGACCCCTACTTGGGTTTCCAAGGCGGTATCTCTATGGAAGTAGATTGCCCAGTCTTCCTTCCAAGGAGTGGCTGGTGGGCTTGAACCACCAGCCTTCTGGTTAGCAGTCAAATGCCTTAGGCACTACGCCACCAGAGCTTCCCGGCAATAAGACAGATACACTCAAATGTTAACAACGCTATCCTTTGTGTGGTATGATGAGAAATTTTTCATTTTAGTTTTCTGTAATTTCCAATTATAATAAACATGTATTATATCTCTTTTAAAAACCATTTAAATATCACCATTATATGAGGTAAGGGGTTGATGAATACATGTAATACAGAAAATTCAAAAATAAAAATCTGTGTGAAATACAAGTAAAATTCTACCCTTTCTCCACACTCTTTAGCAGTAAACCACTAATAATAGTGTGAAAATTTCCAGGATTATCTTATTTTCTAGTCACACACAAATAGGAGTGGATAATACCCATTGTGGTAGTTAAGGTTATGTGTCAACTTGGCTGGGCCTGACTTGAGTAGCCGGGCAGCTGGATGTAGTATTCCCCATGATGAGACTGGTAATCAACTCCATGGTGGAATCTACTGTGAGCAGCTAGCTGAGTAGCTGCCTCAGGGATGTGGTTTGCTTCCAGTATATAAGAACACATTTTGAGAAAGGTCTTGAGCTTTTTGGCACATTTGGATCCTGTATTTTGTTAAGTCATCAGTGAGTGGCCTGCCACGTTATCTGCTGATCTTGAGACTGTTTCTGGACTTAACTAGTGGTCTGCCATGTTGCTTAATAATCTTTGGACCGTGCCATTTTACTTGTTGATCTTGGGTTTGTCAGCCTCAGCAGCCAGCAGCTACCTGAGTGAAGAGATGCCTCCAGGTCCATGGGGCCAGGCGGAAGAGGCAGAGCTGAAGCCCAAGGTTGAGGGGCTTTCTCCCAGACACTAGAGCTAGCACTTTGAACTTGGACTTCTAGACTCCTAAACTATAAGAGAATAAATCCCTGTTTGTTAAAGCCATACATTTGTGGTATGTCTGTTATAGCAGTACTACATAACCAAGACACCCATACATGTGTGTGTGTGTATCCTTTATAGTTAGGAAAAAATTATAATCCTTGAGGGTACAAACTGTATCTTAATGATCTCTGTTATCACCCCAAATACTGTCTGTTATTGTGAACATACTCAAAAAACGTTTATGTTTTTTTACTTGTCCACATTACTGTTCATAATTTATTACGACAATATCAGTAAATTCTTTGCTTCCGATTTAAATCAATTTTGATTCCTGTAGATGGGTAAATCAAGGAATTTCAAGGTATTTTAGTAACAACATATATAAGATTTAAGTTTTCAATCATTACTACCAATTATTTCAGTCACTATTAGGGACTCTAAAAGGAACATCTGCTATTCTCTTGTCTGTGAAACTTGAGCATGCACACATTTTAGCTACTGAAGGAATCAACTGATAAGAGGAGCAATATTACTATTACCACCACCCCCAAAGCCATTGTGAAACATCACTGGACTTAGACTTCATCTATGTTTATAACACTCCCTCCACAACCGAAAAACAAAGTTGGAGAACAGACTGAGCTCCAAGTATCCTCCATGAAATGGGACCTCATAAAGCTAAGCCTCTGCATCCTTTGAAAGGCTTTTCTTAATAATTAAAAGAGAGACACTGATTTATGTTTATCATGTATTTCTCCACATGGAATCCCAGGATAAGTATGCCTATTCTTGTTTTTATCTCCCAGATCTAAAATACACTTACATCAAATCTATCACTATCATAATTAGCAAATAATTACTTCATGCTTACTGAGTGTAGGAGAAAAAATACTTCACTGCCCACTTATTGATCTAATCATGCCATTCTGCAATGGTAGCTGCATTCTTATACTTGAGTGTTTAAGTTAGCAGACTGCATTAATTCCTAGAGGTCAGGGCTTAGGGCTATGTATAGTACCAAATATACATGTACTACAATAATTATGGTTTTTGTGAGGTATTTTTAATGGTAAAGTAATCTCTTCATAAATCATAGTTTGTAAGAAATCAAGGTTGGGAACTATAGGAGTTGGAATCCCTGGGTGGTGAAACAGTTAACATGGCTGCTAACTGAAAGGTTGCCAGTTGAAGTCCACCAAGAGACACCTCAGAAAAAAGCAAGGCTTCAAACCAGGTAGTTGTTAAAATTAAAATGTAGATCCTGATTCAGTTTATCTGGGATGAAAAGCAAATTCTCATCAGAGGGTCAAACTGGGATTAACCAGTCTAAAGCCCTGGAAAAAAGCCCTGGCCATCTACTTCCAAAAAATCAGCCACTGAAAATCCTATGGAGCACAGTTCTGCTCTGACACACATGGTGTCACCATGAGTCAGAGTCAACTTGAGCTGTGGTTTAAGTATAGGAGTTGATTCTATTCCTGCATAAACTCAGTATGAGAAAATCTCAGATTCTTATAATAACTGATGTTATATATATTAAATTATTGGTATTATTATGAACCATAATAACATGCCTCTTCATTAAGGAATTTTTTTAAAATTAAATATGTGATAGTAATTATTTATGTCTGTAATTCAAGGAAAATAAACTTACAGCTAAGCATTTGTTTAGCTAAGTAATCAAAACCCAGAGTTAAATGTTTCTTGACTAAGCCTTTCCCCAAAACAGATGTAGAGATACATACTAGTTCCTACATGTGTTATGTGCAAGCATAACAGAGAAGTAGAAATTATATACAGCTATAACTCAATGACTGTGTAACTGAGGATTTCCCAGAAGATGCCCTCTGCAGTTTTAAAGCCTGTGGGAACAACTATAGCTCTCTCTTAATGATATGTTTTGTAGAAACAATTAGCTTCACAACATTTGGGAAAGGAACACGTTGCCTGATTTGATTTCTTCATCCAGTCCTGATAACCACAGAATTGACAAGAGCCTCCAGCTGGAACTGAGTAGCAAAACCTAACAATTTCGGGTCTGGAAATGCACTTAACTTGCTGTACTTATCTTCCTACAATCTACTTTAGATTCATAGAAGTTACAGCACCCAGATCAAAACAATCCAGAGCAACGTTTTAAGAAAAAACACAAAAATTCAATTAAATTTTACTAGAATTAATAGAATTTAAATAAGGAAGAAACTTCAGATATTAGATATTCAGGGTTGAGGGAAGCTATAAAGGTCATTTTAGTCCAATCCCCCAACAGATGCTTGAATTTACTTTTCTAAATTCTACTACCAAGTGATTATTCAATCTGTCCTGAACTATCTCCAGAGATAGGGAGTGAGCTAACAACTGAGGTGGCCCAACCGAACAATTTGTCAAATTGAGCTGCACAGTAGTATTCCCCTATAATTTCCATTGAGCTGGTTCTAGTTTTATATCACCCCACTCGTCCATCAGTTTGTTATACTGTGGTGCCTTGCATGTTGCTGTGAAGCTCGAGGCTATGTCATCAGTATATCAAATACCAGCAGGGTCACCCATGGTGGACAGGTTTCAGCAGAGCTTCCAGACTAAGACAGACTCGGAAGAAGGAAGGAGCCATCCAATTCTCAAAGAATTGGCCAGTGAAAACCTTATGACCAGCAGTGAAACACTGTCTGATATATTACTGGAAAACTTTATGAATAGTCCTGAAACATTGTCCGATATAGTGCCAGAAGATGACCTCTGAGGTCAGAAGGCACTCAAAATGCAGCTGAAGAAGAGCTGCCTCCCCAGAGTAGAGTCAACCTTAATGATGTGGATGGAGTAAAGCTTTTGGGACCTCCATTTGCTGATGTAGAACAACTCAAAATGAGAAAAAATAGCTGCAAACATTCATTAATATTTGGAACATGGAATGTATGAAGTATGAATCTAGGAAAATTGGAAATTTTCAAAAATGAAATGAAATACATAAAGATCAATATCCTAGGTATTAGTGAGTTGAAACGGAATGGTTTTGGCCATTTTGAATCAGACAACCATATGATCTACTATACTGACAACAACAAATTGAAGAGGAATGGCGTGGCATTCATCATCACAAAGAATGTTTCAAGATCTATCCTGAACTACAATGCTGTCAGTGATAGGATAATAGCCATATGCCTACAAGGAAGACCAGTTAATACTACTATTATTAAAATTTACTCACCAACCACCAAAGACAAAGATGAGGAAATTGAAGATTTTTACCAACTTCTACAGCCTGAAATTGACCAAACATGCAATCATGATGTGCTAATTATCACTGGTGATGGAATACAAAAGTTGGAAACAAAGAAGAATCACCAGTAGTTGGAAAATATGGCCTTAATGATAGAAATAATGCTGGACATCACATGATATAATTTGGCAAGACCAATGACTTGTTCACTGCAGATACCTTTT